CTGTATTAATTTTCATTTAAAATAGCTATCAATTAAAAAATAAATTAAAAGAATTTCTTTTTCTTTAATAAGAACCGAAGATATTAAATGAAATATAGAAAGATCTTATATAAAAAAACATATATTTTTATTATAATTTTTGAATTTTTGAATTAATTATAACTTTTTAAGTTATTGCTTTTAAAATACTAGAAGCATTATTTAAGTAAAAATCATAGATAATAAATAAAAATTTTTTTTCTATTTTACTTTATTATAATTTAAATTTATTTTATTTTTTTTTATAAATTAATATCTTTTATTGAAAATTTTAATATCATTCTTAATTTTATCATCACATAATTAAATGAATTGAAAATTTTACACTTAAATCATGTTTAAATACAAATTATAATTTACAAGTATTAATTTTTTATAAAAATTTTAAAATTTAATAAGAATCATTAACGTAAATTTAATCTTCAAATTAAAATTGTGTTAATTCTGAATGTCTATAAAACTTAAATTTTATTTCAATTTTTAAATATAATAATTCTATTTATATGGACATATTTTTAAATAAATATCTTGTGTAATTAAAATTTTTATTTAAAATATTTATTTATGTAAATTTCCTTTAAAAGTAACATCAAAACTTTTTTTTTCATTTATTAAATATGCAACCTTAGTCGATAAAAGTTAGTATTAAATGTTTTGAATTTTAATAACTAAAATATTGATATAGTAAAGTATGATACTAGTTGGTAAAAGGAGGCATAATTTTAATGATAATGTAATAGTAATACTTAAAAATTTAATTAGCTATTAATCTTCAAAAACCTATTTTTTATCTAAGTAATAATTATTAATATTTAGAAAATCAACTTCATTGTATTTAAACTGACAATAAAAATATACAATTAAGACTAGATATAGCCCATTATATAATAATTCAGAAATGCTTAATCATTTAAATTTATATAAATTTTACAATAAATTTAATGTTTTTTATATGATCTAAATATAAAATATATATTTATATTTAAGTTAAATAATTGAATAAACTTTAATATTTCTAATAAACAAGTATTAGCAACATCAATTTTTGAAAATTGTTATAAATGTTCATTTATATAACATACGTTCATTATCTTTCGTTTTTTGAAAACAACCTAAAACTTTAAAATACTAATTGCTTAAATGTTTTAAAAATACCTCAAAACAACAATTACTATACATATTGAAAACATCATTAAAGTCTATTTAATAAATAATAAATTTGTTCCAATTGATTTACAAATAAAAATTTATTTTTTGCAATATGAGAAAATTAGTATTAATCAATATTTTTATGTATAAAAGTAGATTACTGAAATTCAATTATATCAATTAAATAATTAAGCCAAAAAGAGATTCAATTTAAAAAATTCAAATAAATAATATACTTTTAAGATCTTTTCCTCGGACTCAAAAATATGATTTCAATTTGTACTAAATTTCATTTTGTACCTTCACGTACGAAATGAATCACGTATATCACAGTCTGTACTGAAATCGCAGCACTTTATTATCCAATTATAAGTTATAAAATATATGAAGTTTATAAAATAAAAAATACACAGAGTAAATTTATCAAATCTAAATATACTTCGCACTTCACTTCATAAGTTACAAACATGCAATTTTTTTGAGAAATAAGCAAAAAAATGATAATATTTTAAAAATCATATATTTGATTGTACTAAATGATTGTTATTATTGAATGCTAATAAGAACCTTAATAAGAATTAATATTTTATTGAAGTAATTCCGTAAAACAAGATACCTTTTCATAAAATACAGAAAAGATTACTTCATTTGTGATGTACGAAATATAAAGGTTATTAAAAAATTTAAAGTACTTTAAACAATTGAATTTTACTTACGTCATTTTTCTATTTTCTATTTTACTGATTTTTCAATAAGCTATTTAAAATGCAATAAAAATATAAAAAAATATTTTTACCAGATTTTTTTACATTCAAGTGATTATACAAATAACTTTTTCATTTCAAATTAGTAAAATAATTGAATATTAAAAAAATTACATTTCAAAATGAATAATAATTTATATATAACCAATTCAATATTACTCCCTGTCGATTAAAAAATCAGACAATTAGAGGAATTATTATATTTTTATTGCATTTCAAAAATTAAATTCATTCGATACATATCTCGTCTAATGCATTTCAAATCAATAAGGAAGAAATGCATAAACATAAATCAAAACGTTAAACACTGTATTTTATTAATACATTGTTCAATTAAAAAAAAAAAGTTAAGACATTTTTGTATACTGTTATAAACATTCACTTGCTAAGAAGTGTAATGTTAGAACTAATGACTATAATGTTGACATCATCACTTAGGGTGCAAGCATTTTGAATAATCTTACGTTTATAAATGCTTCAAATGTATAAATAACATTTAAACACCATCTGGAGCACAAAAAAGATCTATTCAAAGTGCTACATATTTTTTGTCGATACTATTTATTTACAAAAAATGACTTCTTTTTTCTTTCTTAAGAACGCTACAAAGCATCAAATAAATGTATTTATTATCTCTCATTCTGCATTCTTTAAAATGAAATTTATATATTTTGCATGCATACCTATATTTCTGTTTCGTATTACTTGAACGAATTAAATGGTTGGTTTATAAATATACATTCTTACAAAGATTTTAATAAATGAAATTATAAATTAAATTTACAATATACCAAAAAATGAAATATCTATTTACATTTTTTTTATATTTGTGGTTCTGGATAATAAAAATGTTTTCCACATAAGAGATTGATTTCTGTTTAAAAAAAAATTACAATTTATTATGGTAAATGGAACAAAATTATTTTGAAATAATATTTTGAACTTCATAATTTTAAATGAGATATTTTAATTTAACATAAAGAAATTAAGTTAAAAATTTACAATTATGTGATAACCTATAAATTAAAATTGTCATATATTTTATATTATTTACGTAATGATTAATTGAAACATTTTATCAAACAGAAAACAATTTGATTTTCTTTAACAGTTCCAACAACGTGAAACAAAACTATCAAACATCGGTAAACAAAACTTTCTTATCAAAACGAATTTTTCAATTTATATAACAGTTTTCACAAAAGTCAAGTTATACTTGACTTCTTATTTTACTTTGCTCAAATCATCATCTGATATTCATTATCTTTTTTTTCGATATATACATATGGACGCGATGAGCACCTGTATGTACGTATACATATGTGTACATACATACTCTCTTGCGCACGCGACTGGCAATAAGATTGAATGCGGAAACGTGTGCATGAGAGTATAAAGTGCATGCACCCGTGTATGTGCATATGTAATACATATGCATAATCAAACATGGATGTGTATATATGTGTGTACATAGGTATGTATGTATTCACGTATTTATGATGTAAGGCATAAGATCTATGTACGCATGATGTATGTATATATATATATATGTGTGTGTGTGTGTGTGTGTGTGTGTGCGTGTGTGTATGTATGTATGTATGTATGTATGTATGTATGTATAATAGAGTAAATGTATACACAGCATAAATACCAAAAAATAAAAGTATGTACAAGAGAATGTTCAAAGGACTACATTATTTCATCCTCATAAATACGCAGTTAGTGATTTTTAAGCTCAGTCCTTGCAGCTTAACTCCGCAAAAGCAAAAAGTCCACTACCAGCTATTGCCTCCTCGACCTCTACCGCGAAAAACTGCTGTCCCACGGAAAATACAACCACGAGGTTTCATGCCGCGTGATGGTAATCCTGACGGTGGAAATCCACCCATCACCATTACTCGTCCTCCCGGACCACCGCGATCTATCCAAGGTGGCCGTGGTCCACTACCAGCACGAAACACTATACCACTGGCTCCTCCACCACCTCCTCGATTTCCTCCTCTCTGCATTGATGAAACTCTGGAACTATGTAATAAAATTTAAAAATTTTCTATTTATTAAAATTAGCAAGTTTCATTAATTTTATATTTTACTAATTAAAAAATAATTTAAAAAATAACATGTTTTAAAAATTGATAAATGCATTATTTGTAAAACATTTTAAAAAAATAAAAAACACAACTTACAATACACAGCTCTTACTTTCAAAAAATATTAATTTATTTCTATTTTTTAAATGCAAATAGCTATCAATATTTAAAACATAAAAATTCTGAAAAATATTATATATTATCAAATTTTTTTATTGATTAATTACTGAAGTTATTGTAACTTTCAGCATATGAGAAAAATGTATTCGTATTCTTAAATATGAGAAATTAAATTTTAGTCGATTTTAGGTTTTAAAATAAAGAAATAATATAAGATACCAGTATTTAAAAACATTTACATACATTATAAAAATCATTGATTTAATTGATTTACTAGCTGCAAAATTTATTAAACTATATATGAGTTTTGATAATCTTTACATAGCTAAAAACTTCATTAGAAATATACTTTGTATTTTTATTTTGTTACTGTTTTCAATAAGAAATTTTATTTAAATATAAGTCAAATAAAAATTCATCATTGAAATATTTGATTTAATGAAATAAATCTTTATTTAATAAACTATAAATTATGTAAATATAAAAATTACTAAGTTTATATTGTCTTAATATTAAATTATTTACAAAATATTTATACAATATTGATTTTCCAAATTAATAACAGATATATATTATATAAAATTATTACATTATTCATTTACTTATATCTATAAATTTTTATAATTATTTGATTTTTAACTTACGAGTATATATTCTAAATATTTGAAAATTTTGTTCATTAAATTTATTCAAAATTGTCTAATTTTTATATTTTATAGTAATCACCATACTTTAGACTTTCATTTTTATAATATAAAATAATTAATTGTAATGTTCTTAATTATATATGTTTTTCTTTAACAAAAGTCGAATTCAAATTACTATAATAAATTTGTAGTTACCTTCCATGTTGACTTTCGTAAAACTCGAAATCTTGTGGACCTTGATGAAAATCCTGCATAGGCTGACTTGATAAGTAATTCTGATTAGATCTGAAGTCTTGCTGATTATGATGAAAGGATTGATTACCTCGAAAGTCTACAGATTTATTATGCCGAAAATCAGACTGATGATACTGAGGCAATGGAGGAGGAGGAGGTGGTGGCCTTGTATCTACTCCGCGTAATTCTGATCCAAGACTTCCACCTCTTTGTGAACCCTTTTAAAAATATTAGTATTGAAACCAATACATCTTTTTATTAAATAAAGTTTGATTATTTTTTATTTTTAACTTCATAATTCAAATAATTTTTGACTCGATAAATAAATATAATGTAATAATAAGCTTTATTTAAATTTAAGTCATTTTCAAAAACATCATTTATAATTTTTTTTAAATTCAAAATTATGTAATTATATCTTTTATCAGTATCTTAATTGTGTACAAAAATTAATTAATGAAAATTACATTCTAATGAAATTTCAATAGTTGTTTTATATTCTCATGTTGCCTCTAATGTATTAAAATATCTTTAGTAGTTGATTCAAAGATAAATTAATTATAAAGAATATATATAAAAAATTAATTTATAGAGCTAAATAGTTTTAATTTGTGTATATATATATATATACATTTCACATATCTATTTTAAATCATAGCTATCTCTAAATTATTGAGCTATTTTAATATAAAAATAAATATGTAAGTAAAACAGAAATCCATTTATTTTCAGTATACAATTTTAATACAGTTTAAGTTTTACAGCATTTCTTATTCAGTTTCAATTCAAATTTTTATTAATAAACTGGAATATCCAATTAATTAAAAATCTACCGTTATATTTTATGAAAACTTAAATAAAATGATTTTTCAAGCAAATTAAAATTTCACAATTTAAAAAAAGCATATTAAGAAATAAATTGTAATTTAATATTGATATCTATTCTATAACAATATGAACATAACTTATACTTATTATGTTTCTTATATTCAAATATAAATTTATAATATTCCACGTTAAATTCACTACATTTTAAAATATTATAGAATTAAAATTAAAAGAGTTTATGTAATAGCTAAATTATTAAATAAACAATAAATTTGTACCATTGCGTTTATAGTACTCCCTCCAGTTGATAACAACCGCATATCCATGTCAGTAGCATGATGGTGTTGTGAACCAGGAGATTGAGTAGGAGCCATATTAGGTACTCGCATATCTCTATCCTGTGATCGTACATCCACTAATACTCTGCTTCCTTTTTGTTTATTTTCATTCTCTTCATCAGACATTTCCATGTCAACACTTTCAACAATATCTCCAGCTTGAACATTTGACCTCCTATATAACAAGTAATTTTCATAATTTTTACTATAAATAATCACCTAGTATTAATTATTAGCCTCGTTTTTGGATAAAGTATATATATATATATATATATATATATATATATATTTAATAATATTAATTGTGCATTCCCCACTTTAGAATATTGTTTCATTTTTTTTATAAACATTATTAATTTACTTCATCTTAAAGAATACCATAATATAGATAATGTTATATAAAAATAATTGAAATTTTAGTTAATTAACTTTCATTATTTTACTATTAATGATTTTATTAATAATTGCTATTAAAATAATTGCTGCTGTGAACAATAAAATAAGAACTTTTTCAAATTATTTAATTTATTCAAGGCAGTAAATTCATTATATTTAAATATTCATTACCTATAATCTTGATCTATGTTTGTCCATAAACTATTATTCAGTAGTGGAGTTGACGGCGCATCGTTACTGTTATTAGCTGGACTTCCTGTTAAACTAATAAGATTACGATGATCAACATCCGCTCCTTTTATAAGACGATGGGATAATTGCTTGTCTGTAGACATTGGTATCGGTAGAACCCTGAGAAATATATTTATTTTAAATTATTCCTATGTAATATTCATTATGAAATTGAAAATATATAACGAGTATAAACCTATGATCAATATCACCAATACTACTTAAAATTGGTTCTTGTGATTGGGAATCATTATATTCAACTGGCTCATTAAAACCTGCTTTTTCATACATAGGTGGAGATTCTGGGGTTTCTGATAAAATTTCATCTTTTATTCTGATATTTTCTGTCCAAGTTGAATCATTACCTATTTCCCATTGTTCATTGCTTGATTCATTCCACTGATTTTTTATTTTGTTGTCACTTATTGGCCAAATTGGATTTGTATCATTGATTACTGGAAAAACAACTAAAATCATACCGTTATATCGTATCGTCATATCGTATGTTATATCTTTATTTATAAGTTAACTATTATAATAAACAATTTATATCCACCTTTATCCTCCCATTTTACAGGTTCCTTTGGTATCTCATTTGCAAATGTCCATGTTGGAAATTTAGATGGTAATTTATTATAACAATTATTATCATCTAAAAACTCTATTGGTGGCATAGGAGGAGGTTGGAGAGGATTAACTGATGATGTGGATCCATCAAAAGAATTTACAGGCACAGCAGCATTAGTTTGACTATTTTCACTGGAATATGGTGATGGAGTATGAGATTCTCCATTCAAGTTTCTAGTTTGCAAAGGTGTACTATGACTAATTTGAACATGATTTATATTTCCTATTGGAGTTGTAGAAACATTTATTGTTCTTCCCATTAATGGAGTTGGCATTTGTCCTATAATAGGTCTATAATCATTGCACTGTATAGTATCAGACATACTATCTGCAACATCTAAACCAAGCCCAGGAATACCACATAAATCAGAAGTTGTATCTGAAGATGGAAGCACTGTTTTTAAAAAACTCGAAACTGGCTCATCATTGCTTGTTTCCACTATCGAAGGATGTATATCAATAACTTCACTTGATTTATTCTACAATAAAATAATGATAGATTTACATATTAAAAAAATTAATAATTTAATTGAATTTATTAAACATTTCATTAATCAATATTTCATCAGTTTCTATATTACAATAAAAATTTATGTATTTTAAAAAATATTGAATTAATCAGTTACCTCTAAAGAATCATATTGCTGACTATTACCAGATGTTACAGAACCATCGTTAAATATATTTCTCTATAATAAAGCAAATTTTATATTTAACAAATGTTCCAAAATTCACATTAATATTCAAAATTTATTAATCTTACAGGATCAAACTCTAAATTTCCTCCAATAAAAGATGGAAAATTATTGCTAAAATCTGTAGTTGTATTATTCAATGGTGCAGATATTGGACTATAATCTTGTCCATATGATCCATACATTGATGGAGGAGCAATATTTATTAAAGAAGATTGGTTAATTTGACTTTCATCTCCTGGAAGGTCAATATCACTATCAGGACTTGGTGATGGAGCATTTATATCTGGTGATGGAATTGGTGATGCCAACATTGGTAAAAGTTCATCCAATTTCTTTTTCAAATTTTTCACTCTACTACCGAAATTTCGATATGCCTGTAATTCACAAATATAAATTAAATATAACTACGCTTTTTTATTTTAATTTATTTAAAATTTTTCTAATAATGAATTATATAACGAATATAATTTTAATTTATATTTACATATTATTTGTATTTCAATTATCAAAATGCCTAATACTTACATTAACTACAATTTTTACTTCTCCTCTTTGTGTTTCATAAAATTGATCAGCTTGTTCAAGAAGCTCAAGTACTTGTTTTCTTTCTCTTATTTCTGCCTCAAGTGCTCGTACATAATTTTCAATATTTCTTGCAGCGTGATCAACTTCTTTTTCTGCATCTTCGACTCTCCTCCGATCTTTCAAAGATGAGCACAATTCCTCAGCATTGTCAATATCTACATTACTATCTCTTAGGTCTCTTAATCTGGCATCTGTTGCTTGTTCAAGTGTAGCACAAGATCTCATTGTAGAAATTAAAAGAGCAGCTTGAAATTCATCAGGCTGTTGAACAGACTGTGGTTCTACTTTTTTCTTAGGAGCTGCAGAAATAAGCCCTGACAAATCAGCAAGAAACTCCTCATCATAAACTTGTCTTTGATCCCAAATTTTAAAAATTCTTAAAATACGATGCTTCACTTTTTCATCTCTAACCATTGTTGTAGCCCGTTGTAATGTAGTGCCCCATGATTCCACAAATTCAAAATTTTTTCGTTTTGAGTACTGAATAACATCATTTGCTAAATAGAAAAGTGTAAGACGATGCTCCACTTTTACTAAAAAATAAAAATGTATTCTTTAAGCTAACACCTACATTATTAATATTTACAAAAATACAAAAATAAATCTATTTAATTTATTGATAAATAACATTGCATTAATTAATTTTTAAACCTTTTTTTAGAACTTGTAGCCAAGTAGCAACTATTTTTTTGTGATGTTGCCTTCTTTCCAAGCACCATGCTGAAAGACTTTGAATAGATTCTTGAGAATCTTTTAATGATTGTAATCTTCTTTCAAATTGCTCTGTATCAAAATCGTTCGAAACCATGGTTAAATATATAAATTTATTGTAGATCTTAAATCTTATAGACTCAAAAACCTAAAAGAAAAACACATTAGTAAATCATATAATTAATTAAATTTAATATACTAACATTTAAATTTAATTATTAATGTTTATGATCGTATTTAACGATTTAAACGTAACTTTTAAAAAAATTTCAAATTCATATTTGATACACAATTATAACCGCCTGTAAATAATCAAATGCATCAAAAGACCGTAAATAATTTAGCAGATAATAGCGCGAAGATGAAAGGCACGAATAAATTTCAGAATATTGTAATAAAGAGCAAAGTATATGGAAATCTTCTTTGAAAACAAAGTATTATATATCAAATCTAACCTTATTAATTTCACAGTAATCTATAGATACGAGAAAATTGTTTAGAAACATTTAATCGATCGTAACGAAATGACCTGTTCTTGTATATCTGACGGCCATTTTTTTGTTTACTCCAGTTCAGCGCCGCCCTCATGTATTGTACATTATTTGCAATTTTATTACACTTACTTAAATGTACGGCTTAAGTTATAATTTTGAAAACTGATAATGAAACTACCTAAAATAATTAATTAATAATTATATACAAAAATAAACTAATGATTGATAAATCTAAACACTCCCCAATTTAATGGAACAAATTAGTATTTAATGATTTAATTTTTTGAAATTTTAATAAATTGATTATTTTAAACATGAAGGTATGAAACTAAATAATGATCCTAGAACTCATTAAAGATATTCAGGAAACAAAACAAAACCTAAACACTGCAAAACAAAATAATTATCAAACACATGTTATTGTTAAATTTATTCAATCGCGATATTCTTATATACACCTAAAATTGTTTACAACATCTTGAAATACTTTAGATCACTCCAAAATACTTGCTTAAGTATTTTATAGGTTACCTGCGTCGACAAAGGTGTCGGCGCGCATGAATTACAAGAATCTTTTTATAGGTTAGAATAAGAACATACTTTGTTCGGTTCATATTTCGCCGAAATTTCAGCATTAGGGCACCATTGAATAAAAAAGCACTCAATCTTTCAATATTGTAATACAGTTTAAGTAAACTTCGACAAATCGAAATAAAAAAATTCATGCACGAACCGCAATGACGACAACGACGATGAAAGTATAGGACTAACTTGTGCGCACGCTAGACATAAAAAATAAATATGTATTTCTCCTTAATGTTCACACCCATTCAATTACAAAAAATGCAAACAAAAGCTAAGAGCTTCTCAAGTAATAAGCATTTCTTTTGACACTTTTTTTTATTTTTGCTTGCGAAATTTAATTATCAAAGCATTATTTGTTAACACTACTCTTTATATACCGAAGATGCGGTATCGTTGCAAAAATACAGTTCCGCCATATTTGCACCGAGAGGTGCAAAAGCAAATATGCAAACAATATGGCCGGCTAAATGGATGCACAAATCATTGCACGTATCTTATGTGCTATAAGAATGGACTATTTAAATAATTTAAATTATATTACTAGCAACATTTGTTTTCATCTAAACTAGTAATATTAATGTGTTTGTACACAAATTATATATACCTATATATAATAGTATTATAAATAAACTATATATATAAACAATTCAAATAAAAAATTTATTATCCATTTTTTTAATTCTCCAGTTTTATTTATTTATCTTTGATACGCAAATCTTTATTGTATTAATTTAAAGTAAGATGAAATAACATCAAATTTCAATTAAAACACATTTATTATCAATGTAATTTAAATATATCAGAACCACGTACAATATAAACAAAAACATTTTCAGTATCACCAGATCAAATTTGATATACAATTATGTATTCATCAAAATAAAATTTTTTTGTATTATAAATTATATCAATTCATTTTCAAGTAAAAATTTTTTTTAATAATTTTAATAGTTTTAGTCTGTTCGCCACGTAAACCAAAACTCTGATATTGAATTAATTAAATTGAATTCTTTAAATACTTTACCTTTAAATAATAAACTATATAAAAAATTTCAAAATTAATTTGAATGCTAATTTTTAAAAAGAATAATACTATATCTATATGTAATCAATCAGTTTGATTTCGTATATTTATGTTACTTTTTAAATAATATAATGATTTTTAGTATTTTGTAACTTAATTCTATAAATAATTATAATCTGTAATAACATAATATCAAAATAAGAAAACTTTTAAATAGAATCGAAATTATAAAGTTTACAACGATTCGCAAATAAATAAAAATTATATAGAATATTGAATTTCCCAATACATTCGATTATAATTTTAATATATTATTTAATATAATTTATGTTTGTACTAAATGTGAATAACATGATCTTCAACAATATCACCATTAAAATGTATCATTAATATGTATCATATCATTAAATTAAAAGCTCTAATAGTTTATTTTAAGTTAACGTACTAAAATGTAAGTTACACTTATAATACAATGACAAAATCAATGACAAAATATTATAAGAGAATTATAATAATTAATACATCGATTATATTAATACCATTATTGTAGTAATTTGTAGTGAAATTAATAATGGGATTTTTATTTTAACAAAAAATTGTAAAGAAATTTTTAGAGGCTTCATTTATAATTTTAAAATTTAAATTTTATTAAGTGACGAAACGAAAGCCGCCATACCTACTCGTATTTTTTCTTTTTAATATCGACTTAGACAACACGATAAATATTATAGAACTCTGCAAAGAAATATCATTATTGGAACCTATGCTATTGATTGTCCTAAAATGATTATGGAATAATGAACCTTGAGGTCACTGACGAAATCTTAAAGAAAGTACTTTCTTTACATCATATAAAAATATTAAAAGAGATTAATAATTATAATAGAATAATGTTGAAATTAATATAGATAAATGTACATACAAAATTTTAATCTAATATTTAGTTCTAAATTCTATTACTGTATCTATTTCAAATTTTAATAACATTTTAAAACAATATTGTGCTTATAATAAAGTTATTAATATTAATATTAACTTGAATTACAAAATATTTTTACAAATTTACAACACTTTAATTGCAAATTTTATAAATTGTAAATTTACATTAAAATATTAAAAATATATTTTTAATTTCAATCATATTTAAAAAAATTTTTTTTAATTCCATGTTCATTTCTTTATATAAATGTACAATAAAACAAGGATAAGGGAATTATAAGTTAACACCCATTTGTATTATAATATATATTTCCTTCAAACATATAAGATCAAAGAAAGAAAGGGGTTTATCTATTGCCTAATTCTTTTATTGTTCTTTTTATTTGTTCTGTGCATCAAATAAGACACATTATAACGTCTTACATTGAATTTTTAATATATTATTTAAAAAGGTATTTAATTTAGATTTTAAGTTTGAGTAGCTATAATTGTATAAATTCAAATAAAATATTAAATCACTTTTATTTTTACTTCATCGTATAATAATTTATAAAATAAATAAAATTTAGCAATTGCATTCCATTTCATACAAAATAAACATTTTTCTATTAAAATTTAAAAATAATTCAAAAGTAAAATTATAAATGTCATATATTTTATTACACTTGGAATTTTTCCTATTGTTAAATGAACAAATGTAATATTTAAAATACATATTGTTTTCAATGTAATAGAATATATTATATGTCATTTTTCTTAACTAGTTAAATTAAAAAAATTTGCATTGTTTCTGTTTTTAAACCATTGTATTGTTTATTAATTATTGATAATGTATTAGTTTAATAAATTGAATCTAGATATATATACATATATATGTATGTACATGTAGGTACATGTATGTACATGTATGTACATATATAGATTTCAATGACTATTATAGATATTACGATATTTATTAAGAGTTATATTTATCGATAGTTTATGCGATATACTAACAATATATCATAACACCATTATATGAAAAAAGAATTTTGTCAATTGGTTTTATAAATTGTCAATTGATGCATAAACTCATATTCTCTAAATACATTTTACCTATTTTGAAAATGTTATCTAGAAATGTTTAAGTTTATTTTAAATGTTATAGATTCATCATTCGATAAGCTAACATCAGATTTTATCTAAAATTAAAAAATTATATGCAATAAATAATAATATGTTTTAACGATTTAAAAATGCTTTTTAGTAAGTTTACAATTAAGTTGTATTCTATATTAATTAGCCAAAACTAAATTGCACTATAATAATTAGAATTTGTGTAATATTTTTTTTTAGTAATACAATAATTACACAGATAATTTGTCTAACTGATTTTCTTTTATAAAGGCTTGTAACCATTACCCGAGGGAAGAAACATATTACGGCTATATGTATTCTACAGAAACTAATAACAGTATAAGAAAAATCTCTGATACTGAAAATTGAAAATATTGAAAAAATGAAAAAATTGAAAATATTGAAAAAATGAAAAAATTGAAAATATGAAATACTATTAATTATAATTAAAAACAATATAACTAATCAATTTTTTATATACAATGATTTAATAAATCCACAATATTATTTTTGAATTATATGTAATCTTGAACGAATAGAAAGATTCTAAAGACTATATATATCGCTGATTATATATGTGTTGGTGTTTATATAGTTTTTCTATAATAAAAAAAAACAACATAGATTAAAAATTAAAACGCTTAATAGTATGAATTATGGTTGTAATAATGAAACGTGTAACAAAAATCAGTTCACAAATTAGACTTGATGAATACCATGATAAAAATCACAAAAAGTACGTTACAATATTTAAATGTCTTTCCATTATCATATTGCATAACTTTAAGTTAGTAGATTAAAGTAGAGTAGATTAAAAAAATTATACAATACAACATTTTTTTATAATAAAATAAATACATTTCTTTTATTTATGTGACATTATACTATTAATATATTATTTAATTTACAATTGCTGTAAATGAAGCTATAAGCTTATAAGCTTTCTATGCAAGAGCTTTATTGTAAAATGAAATTATCTGAATTGTTAATTGAATTTATATTGTTTGTTTAACTTGTATTTCGTTTAGTTCCGTTTTAATAGAGAAAGTTTGTCGATCATTTAAATCTCCATAAAAATTGTAAATTCATAATCGTACAAACTATATTATGTGTACCCAGTCTTCGCTTAAATTTCCAGCTTTTACACCGTCATTTTACAATTATTATATATTATTATATATTTAATATTCAAATATCTATATTTATGGTATAATTAATAAGTAAAATATATTATCGGTTTTAGTTGAAACAATCGAATGAGTTTTATTAATTATTAAAATACACTAATAAAAATTTAATAATATTTTTAATTTGATTTCATACTTAAATATGTATATTATCAATTATTAATTTACGTTCTATAAAAAACATTCAATGACAATAAATTTATTGTTATATTATCAAAATTGATTTAAAGCATGTTTTATATTATGTATTAATGATTAGTAAACGCAAATACAATGATCTATGCTATGGAAATACAAAACAATAA